CCCAGACGAATTTGGGGGGGGGGGGAGAGTATAGCCGGGCTGTATCTTTGGATCGTTAGGCTGGAAACCTATATCATGAAGCAGATCTTTGTAGACTTATACGGGGAGCTCTTTAATTTCCTGGGGCGGGCAGGGGGAATTTGGTACTATTTTGGTTTGGTTTGGTATCATAATGGTCAACATCCCAAGGGCTGGCTAGACACCAAAGGGAAAAACACCTTTTATTTATACACCGGCTCGTGTTGTTCCCTTCCATGTATTTCACGGGGCGCCCGCATCCCCTTCTTTTGAGACCGGATTGCACTAAGGATGTCTAACTGACTTTTCTTCCAGATGTTTGCACTTACCCTCTTTCCTGCCAGCTCACCTCTGTGTGCACGCCTGTGTCTATCTCTCTCTGGATGCCTTTTTTAATTAAAACTCCTGATTTTCCACCATTAACCTTTTTTCTGTGATTAAACTTTGTGGCTTCCAGAAATCGCTTTCAGTGGAAGCGAATGCAGAACGCCCATCTCTAACAAACATCGCCCTTTTTTTGCTGCCTGTTTATCAGCATTTTTAAAAAGGCAGCTAGGAGTCTCTGCAGTCTACTTCTTGGGAAAATTTATCTTGTTGGGGCTATAACTCCTGAAACATCCTAACCAGCAAAGGCTTTGGTGGCTAGGGGAATTTATAACACCCCCCCAAATTAAACTTTCCAGGCACCCCCTCCAGCTATCATAGTCTAATCGGTCATCAAATCATAACCAGTTTTATCGGCACGGAGTGGTGATGTCACTTTGATATTATTGAACTCTTTAAAAAGGCCTCCTGAAAATCCCAAACAGATGATTGAAGCTGATGATTCTACAGACGGTTCTGATCCGGGGACGCAGCTCCTTTTTGAAAGCTCCTGCTTCGGAGACTGACTGCTCAATGGGGCAGAGGCGTCGCGTTCACTTCTGGAAGCCCCAAAGGGCATCGGGGCTCAACCCGTCATGTTCTGTTTTCTCTCCCGTTTCCCTTCCTCCAATGACCCTTCTGATTTTTCTAGCGCCAACCCACTGGCCGCGAAACTGCACAGCATTATCACTGACGAGGCGTTTGAGTTTTACTGCACCCAGTGCCACAAACAAGTCAACCGCCTCGAGGACCTTTCTGCGCGGCTAAGCGATCTTGAAATGAATAGGTAACGGGTTCGAGGCGTGGCCCCTCTGGCTGAAGCGCATGACGCCTAGGAAAGGAAGGATTCTCATTCCTCACGCCTGCCCTTCATGTGTCGGCACACTTTCTTTGACTTTTGTTAAAGCCCAGGTTTGCGTTCCGACCAAAAAAAGAGAAAGGCCTCGGGCTGATGGGGCCATGGCCGTTGTTCTTTGTAGTCCAGATTTAGCCAGATTCTGAGTTCGAATCTAGGGCCTGCCTTTATGGCCTCTTTGGCCTGGGCCTAACCGCAACATGCTGTGCTTGAACCATTTAATATTGGGGACGTGGATGGAGCCAGATCACCTCTTCTCTGAACTCAGTTGAATTGGACCTCTGCCGCAGTGGTTTCTTTCTCTCCAGGGGCCAGCCGTTGTGGGCCTCCGGATGATGTTCAACGGCAGGTCCCATCGTCCCTCACCTTTGACGGTGCTGGCTAGGACGAACGACAGCCGCAGCCCAGTGGCAGCTGCCCACCACGGTAGTGGCTGCATCACAGCCACGAGCATTTCGCCTGGAAGATCGCCAGCATTTGGAAAAGTAACTTTTTGGGGGGCTACAGCTCTCAAGAGTTGCTCAAGACCTGGATGTGCCATGACATTCCTCTGCCTGGATGATGGAGGAGCACGCCCGGACATTAAGAGAGAATCTGATTACTATTACTGTATATCAGGCAAAATCCTATTAATCTATTACTATGAACTTTTTTTGATGGCTGGGGAAGAGCAAAGGGTGTTTAACGTTGCTTGTGATGAAAACACTCTCAAACTCTTCGAAACTGGAAATTCTCCTGGACTACATGGCTGGGGTTATAAGGACAGTGGAAGTGAGAATCCTTCCTTTTTAGCTTGCATGTCGTCTCTCTGTTTTTTTGAGAAGCGCCCCCCCCCTTTGCATGTTCTTTGGCAGTGCGAAGCAAAAGCACCTCTTGCTGCTTAGTTCCTGAGAAGCCCCCCCCCCCCTGCATGTTCTTTGGCGGTGCGAAGCGAAAGTACCACCTCTTGCTGCTTGGTTTCCACACTGTATCGTAGGATCCATGTTGGGGCTGCTGAGATTGGGTGAGGAGGGGGGCTACCTGCTAAAAGAATGTGTTGTGTGTGTGTGTGTGTCCCGGGGAGGTCCAGCGAGAGTCCCTAGTGGTCAGAATCTGAGTGCTGGGAGGAGAAATTCAGAGGAGGTAACGTTCGCGGTGAGGTATAAGCGTGGCAAAGGGGGCAAGGGAGATGCTGTGGGGCTGCCCTTTCTATTAGCCCTTGCTCGCATAGCCGGTGGTGAGGGCTGGTGGGAATCGCACCCCTCCATCGCCTGGAAGGACCCCCACATCTCCCAACCCCTTTGCTAGCACAGCCAACGGGATGCTGGTGGGGAGGGTGAAGGGAGGAGTGGACGAGCTTTTGCAAAAGAAGAGAGGAGAGCGGGAGGCGAAGCTTTCCAGATGTCTTTTCTCGGGCAACCTTGTGCATGTCTGTTCAGTCAGAAGCTTCTCGAAGTTCCACACATACCGTCCTGCGTATGCCGGTGCAGAGCGGTAGTCTTGCCTTCGGCTGAAGCCATTCCCCTCATTCTTGCCACCTTGTCTGTATGGAGTGACAGGGGCTCTCCCTGCGTTGGGTTGGGGTGGTGGTGGTGGGGTGCTGGTGGTGTCTTTTTCCACCAGGAACGGAGCACCGGATTCTTGGTAAATAAAGCAAGTCCTGATCGTAGGAGATCAATAAAGTGAGTTGAAAGGCTAATTACAACACTCAGAATGGGGCGCACAGTCATTAAACTGGAGAAGATATCGTCACTCGGTCAGTGCCGGAGGCTTTCAGGTTTAGCGGTGCGTGTGGGGGGGAGAAGCATTTTGGAGGGTCCAGGAGCCACTAAAGTGGGTGGAAGTTGCCTGAAGCCCATCTCTGCCCCTGCCCTCCTCTAAGAGGTATAAACGCAAGAATTCCGTTTTCTCAGCATGGGATGTACTGTATTTCCGCCAATTTTGGTTCCATGATAACCCAAACCCATAACATACTTTGGTCAATCTTTGCAAGCGGAAATCACAATTACAGAGGGGAAGAATCCAGGCGGTGCAAATATTCTTTTCAGACACCCCCCCCCCAGTTGCACTGTGAGTTCAGCTGGGAATGCTTAAAAACCTGATAAGCTGGTTCTGAAATTGTTAAAACGCACGGCTGCAAAAAGGAAAGTGTTACAGGAAAACCCGGCCAGCTTCAAAAATAATCTTGAAGGCCCTCTTAAACTTATAATTGAAAGAGGAGCGGGTGGGGTGGGGTGGGGACATGGTATAGTCCTCCAGGAGGACTGACCGTGATGAAGATCAGCTCGGGGGAAATGCATCGTCAGCATTGAAAAGAAAGCGCATGGCAGCGGAAAACTGGAAAGGAAATGAGAGTAGAACCCTTCTGTGTGACACGGCTTCCTTTTTGTGCAATGAGCTTTTTTTTATGGCCGACAGGGACCCTTAGACCTGCCTTCTATAGTGGCACAGCCCCAGGAAGCTTGTGTGCCTCCCCACTCCCCGAGCCTATTTGGAGTTTTTAAAAATTTATTTATTTAATTATGGCCTTGGTGGGCTCGGAAGGAACAGAAGCAGTCAAGCTGAAAGAAGCGAAGGAGAAAGCCAGTGGCCTGCAGAATTTCAGAGGCCAGATGCTTTATCACCAGCCTCGCTAGGGCAAAACCTGGTCTCTGCCCGGCAAGAACAGCATCCTTAAGAACAGCATCCATGTAACTTCCTGACGCTCTGCCTCCACTCTTGTACTGGAGAAGAGTGTCCGTAGCCAAAGCCGAGAGTAAGGAGCAAGCTTGGCTGGGGAGTGATCTGTGGAGAGATCCACTGAAAGCCAGGCAGTTCCCCAAGGTTAGCCGAGCCTTGCCACCATGTGCCCAGGCAGTCCTCGGTGAAAATCCACGTGGATGGCATTTGAAGGAACTAGACCTGAGTTAGAACCGGCTATTTTTTCCCCACTTATTGCTGGTAGAGGTGTCCTTCCCTCAACCTCCAGTGTGGCCTTTTAAAAACACACACACCCATACCAGCAAACAATGTTTTCTTGCTAAGGTGACCTAATGGAGCTGTGGCCAGTCCCGGCCGTGTGCCTATGGGTGAGCCACCTACGTGTGGTTGACGCAGCCTGTGTATTGACACTGGATTTTTGGTGTGCACCAGTCTTTCTTCTGCCCCAGCAGACGTTTAGATCTTAAATTCTAAGGAAGGATCTTCCTGTTTCGTTTGGGGTTCTCTATAAAGCTCTGTGTGGGCACCCGGTGTGGGATAGCGGGTGTAGTCCCACGAACTGGGAGGAGATCTGGGTTTGAATCTCCGCTGAGCCATGGAAATGCACTGGGGGAGTGGAGGTGGTAAAACCACTCCTTAATTATCTCACCCTATTAGAGCTGCTATAAGTCACTTCTGGCTTGGCAGAACAATAAAAGTCCTGTCCACAGTGGCCAGAATTATGTGTTAAAACATAATGTGTAGGGGAGGTCTGCTGGGCTGGCCTTTACAGGTTGAAACAGGTGTTGCCTGGGGAATCTTGGTCTCAGGTACCAGCCTGAAAGGGATTTGATGAAGCTGCCTTTCACTGGATCAGACCTTTATTCCTTCTGTCCCAGTATTACCCACTCCAACTGGCCCTGTTGTTTTTGGGATTTCCAGCATGATTCTTTCCTAGCCCTACCTGGAGATCCAATGGTACTACCTAGAAGTCTCTCTCATCCAAAGAAACCCAGATTTCTAACCCCTCTTTCTTTTTTAAAAAATTAAAATCACCCTATCAGGTGTGTTCAGAGCATTGTGGCCCACCTTTCGCCCTTGTCTCCTTGTCTCTTTTCTCTTGCCTTCTCGATGGGTTGATTGCCCTTTTAAATCTCCCGCCAGCCAGGGTCCTCTGGTTGGTGTTAACAAGGTAAGTGGGGCAATATAACAAAACACAGGAGAAAATAAAACTAGCAGCACAGAACGAAGCGTCATTTCAGCATCTAAGCCCAAATCAAAACCAGCAACAGGATATGAGCGCAAGGATGTAGACGCTCCATAGAAGCTCCAAAACCCGGCCCTTCTTTTGAATAAATGTTAAAATCCCGTGCTTCCCTTCAGTGATTTGGGGTGGCTAAAGCCATGTCTGTAAGCATCTGTACATTTAGAAAGGCGTTCCACTCCTGTGCCTTTCGGCGTGATGCAATGAGCTGCATTGCTAAGAAACCAAGAACTTAGAAGATCCTTTTCCGAATAAAAAGAAATATGGTTTTTCCGGCTGCAGACACCTGCTCTGAAATCTCCCAAAGTGCCCCAGGGCGCATCTCATGGGTCGATAATCCCTGGCCTGCAGGTGCGCTTAGGCAAAGGCCGCCGCGTTGTCTGCAGGGGCGCGCGGCCTCTTCGACCGTTGGAACGGCCACGCTTTCCTGCTCCGGTCCTTTTTGCCAGTGACCCGGCCGGCTTGGTAACTTTTATAACGCCCTCTCCGTTCGAGGGGTAACGTTCTGGGTAGAAGCTGCGCGGTCGGCTTGAGCCCGGCCCGGCCCCGGGCCAAAGTCTCATCAGATGCGCGTTCTATTCTTAGCCGAGGGATCTCCTTTCAGGGGAGAGCTGGTGAGCGGAGGCCACGAGAAGAACCTCCCAAGGAGCGTTAGAAGTCTCTGGATCTCTGATCCGCTCGGTTCTGGCAGGCAGATGTGATTCAGACATGTGCAAAATGTGGTCTCTGTCTGGCTTTTGACACTGGGAGGGAGCGCCATGCATGTGCAGGGGTTGCGGTGTACCGTATTCTCTCTCTCTCTCTTTGTGTGTGTGTGCTGTGCTCTGTGCTGTGCTGTTAACTGTAAAGGATACGACCTTGTTGCTCTGCCTTGGCTTGCTTCCTGTGTCGCTTGTTGCTCTCCCCGGGGTCAGCTATCCTGACTTTAATTTTCCTGTTGTTCATTCTACAGTCCAAACAAGAGGCTTTCCAGCAAGAAGGTGGCCAGGTATGCAGACGCTTCTTTTACTTCCCTCCTCTCGCTTTCGGAAGCCCTTCTCCTCTTCCCGGCTTGGGTTCTGTCTCTGTCTGGGGCTGGGGAGCGCTTCCCAGCGGGGAAAACCACCGCAGTCTTTTCCGTGGCTGCTTCTTTTCCTTACTCCAAAAAGCGGAGGCGTTCAACTCTTTGGGTTTTTTCAGCTTAAGCGCTTTTAGGACCCAGCGAATGGGTTCTTTTTGTCTGATGGTCTTCTCCTCGGCCGGATCAAAGGGGATGATTCCTCTAAAGAGGGATTTTGTTTCCGTTTCTGTGCCTTGAAGGCCGCCTTCTCTCCAACGGCAGACGTTTCTGTCCTCCTCACCTGGGAGATGGTTTCCTTCCGCGTCTCCTGTTTCGACCTTGGAGGTCCAGGGTGGGGTGGCTTTGCATCTCAATTCGAAGTACAAGTTGCGCAGCAAAAAGGTGTCCTTGGTGGTGTCTCCCCACCTTCGGACCATCTGGTGATCTCAAATCGGGCTGGCTGTTGGGGTTCAAGATCTGAGTTCAGGAAAGTTACTTTTTTTTGGAGATGACTGCCAGAATCAGCATGGGCACTGGAATGACACGCAGCCAAGCCCTGCTTAGGTTGCAAGGGGTGGGTGGAGGCCGGGTGGGAGGACGTCTGGCCAACCCATTGAGTTGGAGACCCATTTATTCTGTTATTTTTGCCCTGCCTCTTGTGGACCTCCAGGCTGGCCCTCGCAAGTGGGTGTCGTGGGAAGGGATCCGTTTAAGCAGGGGGAACATCCCTGCTCCCCTAGAATCAGGCAGCTGCTGAAATGCGGCAACCACATGCTAACGCCAGGCAGCACAAATAGTCACGCTGTAGCTATAACATGACTTCAGGCTTTGCACACTCCCCCCCCCGGGCTGGGGGCTGCCCGGAATTTCGTTGCATAGGTTTGCTTTCCAAGCAAAGATCCCACTTCCTTGGGTACAGCAGCAAAGGCTGCTGGCAGATGAGTGTGGTACTGCGCTAGCCATTCTGTCTGTGCAATATTTCCCCCAAGTCACCCATTTTCACTCTGTCTCTTAAGTTCCTAGTCCTGGTGACCAGCCCGCCTGTCCATGGACGGCAATCGCAGAGTCCACTGGTTGGGCTGTAGGGAAGCTTCGGGGAGGTTTCCCAGAGTTTGTTCTCTGTGCGATTGGTCTCCTTATGTCTCCAACCGCAAAGCTTGGACGAGGTACATTTTTTTTCAGTTACAACTCCCAGAATCCCCTACAGCCCACAGACCCACACCTAGAGGGACTGCCACAGATACCTCTATTTTGCTCATCTAGAGCAGGGCCCCTGTGGTTAATGTACAAAAATGGAAGCTGTCGTGGTGCTTTCTGGGAGTTGTAGTTCTTTGGGAGGTGCCTCCTTCTACATAGCCTAAAGGGCAATGAGATGATGTCACCCAGAAAGCCCCAGGGTAGAGCAGAAGTCTGTGCAGAGTTGGGGGAAGTTACTTTGCCAGACTACAACTCCCAGCATCCCCCATCCATCATGAATGGCCATGCTGGCTGTAGGGGATGGCATCTAGGAATTGGCGCACCCCCCCAAAAAAACCAATTTATGTTGCTTCACCCTTTTGAATGCCCTACTGCAGCAGATTTACACCTAAACTAGCTTTACTCGGTGGAAGACCTTTGCAAGCAACCTCAGCACCAGCAGTAATCCCGGTATAATGACCGGTATAATCCTGATATCAAACAATAGAACAGTTTTGACCATCGAATCCAGTTTTCGTTGGAATAGTTTGTGCCATCCAGTGGATGCGCTGGCTGAAGACGATGGTCCAGAAATTGCTCTAGACGAAAGGCTACGATTCACTCATTACAATGCATTCATTCGTAAGCGTTTGCAGTAATGAAAAAAAAACAAAACAGTGACTTTTCCCCTTGGGTGGAATTGTGCCCCTCCTCATCTCCCTGCTAAAATCATTACTGGTTAATAGCTGATAACTGTCTGTCTTGATCATTGTGCCATAAATGGGTGGCCTTTGGACTACGACGGAGAGGTGAGGAGGGGAGAAATAAAGATGCCACAAGTCCCAATTTCGCTCTCTCCCCCTCCCAGCCTGCCTCTCCCCACCCCCCGCCCCGCCGACACACACTTCTTTTCCTCCTTACTTATTGCTCTGGAGTGTGTGTTATCTCTTCCCGTCACAAAGATCAAATAGAAAGTAAGTGGCAGAAAAGCCAGATTGTTATCTTTCTCTGTTCCAAAGAGCAAAAGAAGTGATTATCCAGGTGTGAAATGCCTGGTACTACGTTCTCTGTCTGCCACTGGGCGAGGGTGCCAGGTCGGATGCCCGGCTTAAAGGGACATGGAATAAGGTGGCGGGTGAGAACCAACGTCTACTGGGAGCCCACTTCGCAGTCCAGCCAACGTATCTTTCTTTTAAAAAAAAACAAAGTTTAGGGTCTAAAGTAGGGTTTTAAGTGATGCTTCTGCCTGGAAAGGAGTGCAGTTATGGGATCGTCTACGGAAGGGCTGAGCCGAGCATGACGCTTGACGCGTGTGGTTCTTCTCCTGCACGATGTTCTCTCTGATGCTGGTCTTGCTTTGCATTGGGTGGCTCTGTCTCCATTGCAGGCACCTCCACCAGACAAGCGCCCTGACTATGGATGCCATGGAGGAGCCCTACAGGAACAGCACCCAGTGCCTGGAAGAGGACATCACGGATAAGGTAGCGGGCTTTTTTTAAAGGGAGGGAGAACGCCCGCGGGCCAGAGTGCACACACGCAGAGTTTCGAAAAAGTCCCCTGTTTGGACCACAACGTCCAGAATCCCCAGGGTAGCCCTGGTGTGGATCCTGGGAGTTGTTACCCACAAAAAGCCATTTTCCCAGTTCTGTACATGACCAAAGTCATCTGTTTACACAGCCGCTCTTAAATCTGCCGCCGCCACTGCTTTGTTTTCTTTCACAATAATGCATCCGTGCCTCTTTCCTGGAATGAGAACGTGATCCTGATCCAAGTGGAATCTCTTACACAGCCGCTCTTAAATCTGCCGCCGCTGCTGCTTTGTTTTCTTTCACAATAATACATCCGTGCCTCTTTCCTGGAATCGTGATCCTGATCCAAGTGGAATCTCCTGCAGAAAACTGGACTCCTGGAGGTTTTTTCTCAGAGTATCACACACACACACCCTTTCCAAAACCCACTTTGTGAGGCTGCAGGGAGAGACTCTGAGGCTCTTTCTCTCCCCCCCCCCAAAAAAGGGGTGACGCCCATCCTGTTGTCTCAGCCTGCAGCTAACATCCCATGTTAGAAGATCCTCTGGATGGGTCTGGTTTAGAATCCCCGAGCACTCCTTCCCTTTACTTTGAAGGGGGGGAAAGGACCCTTCTCGCCCCGGCGGTTGAGGGGCTGCGTGTTCACTTGGGGATTGTGTCACTTCGAACACTTCCATCCCAAAACGTAAAGGGTTTCCTCCCCCTCCTTCCTTGGTCCAAAAGTGAGACAAAGTCTAGAGCGCAAGATGTAAACGTTGTGCTTTAACCAGTGAATGGGGCTGTGGATGGTGGGCAAAGGAAAAGCCTCCTCTGATGTTTTCTGCCGTGTCACTGATTAAAGCGGTCACCTTTAAGGGTTACTTTAAGGGATCCATGCATCCAGCGTTCTGCATCGTGGTCTCTGTGAGCCCAAACTCAAGGGGGGCTTCCCTTACCTGCGCAGAACACAATAGGCAGGAGAACACCTTGGTGCCAGTTCACAGATGACCCCTTGAAGAACCCCAGTTCTTCTGTAACACATTTCATCTGCAGTATGTTGGGATTCTCAAACAGGGGGTACCATGAAAAAAACCCACAAATCTGCACACACACCCCTTTTGGGGAGTGACAATCTTTTTCTCTTCTTCAAATATGCCAAGGCTCAAATGCTTGAACTTGTCTGAGCAACCTAATTTGCTGTAATTAGGCAGCAGTAATACTAGTAAATGTGAGGAATCCTTTCGTCTTTGAGATCTTGGTTGGCAACTTCTAGACTAGAGGCGACGCCTGCCTTGCGGATCGTAGCCTGGTTTTCAATTGTCCTTAATGTTTCTGAAAAAGCCCCCTTCCACCCTCTAGTGGCTGCTGAGAGCAAAAAAAAACCTCTTTACCTCCTCCTCCTTGCTTTTCCTGAGCTTTTCCTTGCTTTTCCTCCTTGATATTTCCAGTTTTCGGGGGAGAGAATCTCACCTCTTAGCCGAAAAATGCTAACATGAGCCCTAAAAGGGTCTTGTTTGGGGGGAGGTGATTGGAACGGCTGTCTTAACACCTTCAGAGGGCACCGGCCGAGGGAAAGCTGATCAAGAAGGCACCCCCTTGCATGCTATGATTTGGGCAAAGGAAGAACAGACTCACTTCTTGAGTGAAAATGCCATCAAGCAATGAAGGATTCGGTCATCAGCTGAAGGACTATCAGTAAACCCTTTTCCCTCCAACATCAAGAGCGGGAATTCTTAAGCACCTTGAAATAGTTCAGCCTGGTTCCAAGGGGGCCTTATCTGCAAGAGCTTCCTCAGCGTAGGAGATCAAAAGAAGGAGAGAGCCAGTGCAGTATCGCATGTACAGGAAGATCTCCGTCCGTCGGCTGCCGTACGATTCAGGAGAGAACCATGCATTTCAGAGAATGCTGTTGCATCTAACGAAGCGAGATGCAGTCCACAAAATATGTGGACTGCATCTCGCCTTGTGTTGATGTGTTGATTTTAAAGGTGCCACAAGACTCACAAATGTCTTGCCCCACGCCACTGCACTCCGTCCATCCCCTAAGGGCCCCCCCCCGTGTTCGAATCAGAGCTTGGAAAAGTCATGAGGTTGATGGCACCCACAAAGGTTCACCTTGCTCAGAGGATTCTCCTCGTGGTTCGCTTCAGTTTGCATTTTTCAGCCCTTTCTAACGAAGCGAGATGCAGTCCACAAAATCTGTGGACTGCATCTCACCTTGTATTGATTTTAAAGGTGCCACAAGATCTCACAATCCACTGCTGCGGAGAGAAAAATGTCTTGCCGGACTGCATCTCGCCTTGTGTTGATGTGTTGATTTTAAAGGTGCCACAAGACTCACAAATGTCTTGCCCCACGCCACTGCCCTCCGTCCATCCCCTAAGGGCCCCCCCCCGTGTTCGAATCAGAGCTTGGAAAAGTCATGAGGTTGATGGCACCCACAAAGGTTCACCTTGCTCAGAGGATTCTCCTCGTGGTTCGCTTCAGTTTGCATTTTTCAGCCCTTTGTGGTTTGCCGCTCCTGTGAGCGGGGAAAGTCCAAACTGTACCGATGTCTGCACGGAGGAGATGAACTAGAGGCGGACTTTCCCCCCCTGCACATTCGCCCGAGATGCTTTTGGATTTTACCTCCTTAGAGTTAGATGGGAGCAGAAGCACACAATCCTGTCTCCCGCCATGGGCAAACACAGATCGAGAGGACACTGGCCACTGTTAAAGGCAGCTCACTTAAGTGCATCGAGTTTTTGCATTTTTCAGTTGTAGAACATCCTGTCTTACATCATGGGTTGCTTGAGCCAGTATCCTTTAATAGGCATTTTCATTTTTAACACCTGCTTTTCTATACCAGTTTCACCAGCAGGACTGATGGCCTGAGCAGTCCTAGGCTTGGCAAAAAGAGGGCCCTTTCCGAAGCATCCGTTCCCATAATAAGTCTTCTTTCCCCCCGACTTCCAGATATTCAGAAGTGTGTAGAGAGATTGGAAAAAACACTTTTTAAAGTTATAAGTTCCAGAATTCCAAAGTTTGTAGTCTAAAAATTCCAGCTGTGCCCCAAACATGTAGCTTTCGTAAGCTCTGCCAGATACATTTTCTGGCACGGGTGTAGCAGGACCTTAAATGTGTGCAAATGAGAAATGATAAGAAATAATTTAAAGAGAAACAGCTATCTTTCAGTCTGAAGCATGCAAAGATGAAAAAATCTGCAAGTATCTGGAGCCTTCAGCATTTTTCATTTAAGATCCCTAGCATTGACTTAAATGGATTACCTAGAAGGAGAGATCTATTTTTATATCTCAGTCAGGACTGGGAACTCCGTTTCTAACCGAGTTAAGGACAAAGCTCCAGATCAGAGCCACTGATGCAGATGTATCGGTGAATCAGACGTGCGTTTGATGTGACAAAATGGAGATAATATGATATTTGAGCACTCGGATAGCTTTGTGTCTCACTCGTAAAAGTGTGAAGGATGGGTATTTTGGTGCTTAAATGTCGTGGTCGTTTCCCACTTCTGCAGGTGATCTTCCTCGAGAAAAGAGTGATCGAGCTGGAAAAAGACACGGCCGCCAACGGGGAGCAGCACAGCCGGTTGAAACAAGAAAACCTTCAGCTGGTGCACAGGTAGAGTGGGAAAGAGAGGGTGGAAGTCTTTCACGGGACAAGGGGAGGGTTTTAAGAGCCGGTCTGTGGATTCGAAGGAGAATGTGGCCCACTGGTTCTGCTGCGTGGCCTGGGTGAAATGCTGGCACGTCAGGGAGACCGGCCAGGTGAGAAACGGGCTGGGATTCCTCCCACTCGCTTTCTCCCTCTTTCTGATGCTGGCTTCCTCATTTGGATTTCCTGGTGAATTATACTTCACGTCCCTTAGGGAAGTGGGGGAAAGGGAGTGCGGTCTGCCTTTGATGCCTTGCAAATCAAGCACCTTGGGCATGGCCTTGCGCAAGGAGAAACGGGGAAGAGAGCAAGCGCATCAAACCCCCCGGCGGTAGGAAATGCATTCCTCCCCTGCCCCTATTGCTGCTTGCCGGTGAAGGGCTACCCAGCCTCTCCCTTGGTGCCCCGTAGAGGGGCAGAGGGGAAGATTCCAGGGTGACTCTCTTGTAGCACTGAACATGGCCCGCCCAAGATGGGGAAGTGGGATTTCAGCGCAGGAGATGCTTCGGCATAGAAGACATCAGGCGAGATGGTTGTTGCACAGCGTTGGCCAAAAGGGGCCGGGCGTCGAGCTCACGAAGGGCCCAACAGCTTGGTTTCCATCGTATGAACGTAGAGTCGGTGGTTCCAAATAAACACCCTCCCCCCGAGACAGAGTTGGTTTTGTTCCTTTGGGGAAAGTTTTGTCCTCCGAAGGGCTGCACCTCCTGGGAGAGGCCTTCGTGTCTCCTCACTCTCCTCTGCCTCGCCCTTGTCTCCTCAGAGCAAACGCCTTGGAGGAGCAGCTGAAAGAGCAGGAGCTGAAATCGGACGAGATCCTCATGGACGAAATCCGGAGGCAGAGGGAGCTGCTCGGCAAAATAGAGAGGGAAAAGAGCATAGAGATTGAGAACCTGCAAGCCCGGTAAGGGTGGGGAAGCGCGTGCTGGATGGCCCCCTTCGCACCTCTTCGGAAACGGGGTGGAATGGGCAGAAAGGGGGCGCCCCCTCGGAGGGCCGCTGCTCCAGGCCGCAGGATGTCTTGCGCCACCACAGGCCGGGTGCAAAGAAGTGCCGTCGTAAGGTTTGGTTCAGGCCTTGAGTCAAAACTTTTCTGCACACCCTCCTCGTGTTCGCGAGGCGGGGGGCGTGAGCCTTGGTGTGGTGCCTGCAAGGCTGAAGGTGTTCTGCAGGGAGAGACCAGGCGTTGTGAAGATGGGAACAACGGGGTGGAGACACAGAGTCTGGATTAAAATTCTGGCCTTGTGCATTAAGATGGAGGATTTCTTTCTTTTTTGGCTCAAGAAAAGAGGAACAATGTTTGTGCTAAAAATGGAGGAATTAGAGGGATGGATGAGAATACAAAGGTGTTTATCCCACGGCTTGGTCCACTGCATGGATGGGCTGGCTCGCTCCTAAAGATGGGGATCAGATGATGTCTTTGCTGGAGCAAACCAGCCCATCCTCAGAGAACTCCTATCTGCACCTTTGGGGTGCACCTTTGTGTGTGGGCAGGATCACTTCATTTTAGTCTGTTTCGAAGGCATGCCCTTGTTGGGAACAATGCCATTATCATGAAATAACTTAAGAAGAGAGGCACTTTAGGATATTGGTGAATTATACACTTCCTCGGTTTCTATGTCTTCAGAAAAGGCAAAAAGGAGATACCTCGAAATTGCAGACCAGTCGGGCTGACATAAATCCCAGGGACAATTCTCGACCAGATTATAAAGCAGTCACTCTGCAAGGACCTTGAAAACAATGCAGTTGCCAACACAAGAAGAAATCCTGCCAGACTAATCGTATTTCGTTTTTTTGATAGGATAACTTTTCTGGTAGATAGTGGGAATACAAGAAGAAATCCTGCCAGACTAATCTTACTTCATTTTTTTGATCGGATAACTTTCCTGGTAGATAGTGGGAATACCGTAGACATAATATATCTTGACTTCAGCAAAGCTTTTTGACAAGTGCCTCTTGATACTCTGATTTGGAAGCTATCTGGGTGTGCAAAATATCTACTGGTTGGTTCCAAAATTGGACTCATAGAGTGATTATCAATGGCTTCTTCCCAAACGGGGAGGAGGTAACAAGTGGGGCACCCCAAATCTCAGTCCTGAGCCTGGTGCTCTTCGACATTTTTATTAATAACTTGGATGGGGAGGTGCAGGAAATGCTTATAACATTTATGGATGACACAAAATTGGGTGTGGAATAGCTAATGCCCAGGAAGAATGAAACAAAATTCAGAAAGATTTTGCTAAGCTCTAGTACTGGGCTGAAAACAACAGAATGAAACCTGACAGAGATAAATGCAAAGTCCAGCACCTGAGGGGGTATATGGCACATGTCATTTGCATAGTATATAGTCTTCCCCAGCAACTGGCATTATAAACCCAAATATAGCAGTGTAGATTTTAGAATTGCATATTTTCTGTCTTGGGTGTTGGCAGATATTTTACATACCGTATTTTTCGCTCCATAAGATGCACCTTTCCATAAGACGCACCAATTTTTAAGGAGAAGAAAACAGGAAAATATAATCTGTTTTCTGCGCTCCATAAGACACATAGACTTTCCACCCCCCTGTTTTGTGGGGGAAAAGTGCGTCTTATGGTGCGAAAAATACGGTACATTTTTGGTTCTAAGTCCAATGCTGCAGAAACACTTCAGATTGTGTCTTTCAGCTTTTGATCCTTAAGGGGCCAAGCTTTGAATGCCCTTGTGTGCAAGGAGCTGAAATAGATGGTGGAATTCAAAGCGTCTCTGATCCTGCTTTCGGTTGGCCCTCTGCGATTCCGTGACCCTTCTCCCTTCTGAGCCCTTAGGGAAGGGGCAAGACAGACACTTAGATAGATGGAATAGCAGAAATTGGCACTTCCTGAGTGATGATGCAAGATTTGCCAGCAGGGTCTTGGATGCTTTCTTGAGTGGATGATCATCCCGCAAATATTTGTATGTGCAATAAGCATGAGGAGAGTGTGTGTTATGGGGTGTATACCTGCACCATCTTGCATCCTTTCATGGCGTCCTCATGGTGAGATGATAGCTATTTTACGGCATAGAATCTTCTCTTCCCAAAGGATGTGTTCCTAGGACCCTAACAGATCCCCAGGGTTGGGGGTCGTGGTGTCAAAAAAAAAAACAATGGTGCACAAATTACAGGGGATTTAGAGACAGACCAAACAGCTACATTACAAAAGGCATTCCTCAGTTTGCATCACTGTAGACAAAAATCTTCCTATAGCTTGTCTTATGCTTCCGTTCACCTAAAGCGGGCACCATCCTGGCAACACCTTTGGAGGGGGGAGCGGGAGGATGAGAACCCAGCCTTTCTAAACGCTCCCCTGTGTTTCTCCCAACTGCAGGTTGCAACAAGTGGATGATGAGAACGGTGAGCTCCGCTCCTGCGTCCCTTGCCTGAAGGCCAACATTGAGAGGCTGGAAGAGGTGAGGGGCGTCTCCTCTTTTCGGGAGAGAGCGGCTTCTCAGTGACATTCACGGGCATGTCCAAAAGCAGAAGCATCGGCACACATTCCCTCTGCCCCTAGAGGGCGCTGTTCTGCCCTACAAGTGACACAGCACTCATTATCTGATGGTGACTCAGCACCATCCCATTCTGTTCTTCCAGCGTGCCCTTTAAAAGATGTGACGGGGTCCCTGTTGGTGTTTTTCAGACATGCCCCCCACCTGCTTGAGCGTTATAGGTGGTCCTCCACCACTGCCTGTGATACTTTTCCTTGCCGGCTCGTTCCAGTCCCCAAGGCTGAACATCTCTGTGTGCTTACCTGGTCTGCCTGTTCTTTTTGTGCTGTTGGCCAAAACTTGATTTACCTCCTAGAGGAAGCCCCATTGAATGGGAGCAGACCTGGCTTCACGCTTCTGCTCTCCCTCTGGAATGTTGTCTTCTCTTTTTTGTTATCTTAAGATAAGGCTCGGGAGCCTCCCCTACCCCGGCCGACACGTCTGGCGTACAGGGTTGATTACCCCCCTTTAATGGCCATTGGTAAGGGATGATGGTAATTGTAGTGCAAAACACCTGGAAGGTCAAGAATTTCTCACTCTGGTCCTGTGATGACGACCAACCCCGTCTCTTCCATTTCTAATGCATGCGATCAAACAGAAAGCTAAGGTAGAAGTGTGAACTTCCCGGGGGTTATTAGAGAAAGTAGGGTGTTAAAATGTTGGGCTAGGGCACCGGAGACTTGGGCTAGTCACTCTCTCTCACCCTGTAGGGTTGTTGTGAAGATAAAGGCGGGGGAAGGTGGCCAGGTGTGTTGCCTTGAGCTTGTGAGAGGAAAGGTGAGGTACAAATGTAAAGAGTGAATAATAAGAGATTTGAGATCTGAGTTTGGTTTCACAGCGATGGCAGTGGCAAAGGTTATAAAACAAGATGGCATGGAGGGGCCTTTTGATGCGGGATGCCTGACATGTAAAATGTAAGATGCCAAATTTTGCTTCGGGACTCTTGCGTCGGCTGGGTGGATAAGAAAAAAAAAGAAGAAGGCTTTAAAAACAGCATAAATACTTAATTTAGTATGGGTGCTTTCCTTATGATGTTTGAGGACTTCACGTATAGCTAAGAATATAACTGGGAACCAGTGCCATCTGTAGATTTTGATTTTGTACAAAAAGGAGTATTTTAGTGCCTGCAACAGAATTTTATCCCTTTATTTGGGGAGAAATGATTGATAGCAGATTTTTTTTTTTAAAAAAAAAATTAAGTATCCTCTCTAAAATTTATCTGAAACTGTGGAAAGATCGGAAGAGGTTTTTGGAGGCTGATGTCAGTCAGAGCCCTGGTGGGTGAGGTGCGACCATTGAGGGGGGGGATATTTTCCCAGGCCCAGGAAGCTCCAGGGGGCCACCTAAGGCCTCCTGAGTGACATTTCCAATGGGGGGGGAATCCACTTTAGGTGGGGCAAGAAACCTTCCGCCTTTGCTAAAACAAGGGGTTTGTGGGAGAGGGAGCATCCTGGAAAGAGGTCTCTCTCTCTCTCTCTGTTCAACAAGGATGCATGTGGGGGGTGGAAAATGGCAGATGGGGTGCATAATTGTTCCCTCCACAGAAGTTTAAGGTGCTGTGTTCCCTCTTAAGTCCTGAGCAGCTAACTCAGCCCCTCCGTTCCTGATGCCGGCTGGTTTGTGTCAACTGTGGCTCTGACTGGACGCACAAAACACGAGAGAAATGAGCTCCCCCCGCTCTTGCTCCTCTCTCCCCATCTTGAATCTTGCATCTGTGTCCCATCTGAGGGACCCTATTGCCATTGCTTGGTTTAGAGACAGCGTGGGGCCTCGTGGATAGAGGGTCAGACCCGGACTCGGGAGACCAGGGATCCGATCCCTGTTGGCTGTAGAAATTCACTGGGAATGGGGGAGCGCAATGAGAAACGGCTCTTTGGACACCTAACATGCTGGGAAAGCCAGTGTGGGGCCACCGTAGATAGGAAGGGACTTGACAGCAGAGTAGGGGACATCACAGCTCTTGTGACAATCTGGCCGTTCGGCTTGTGTGCTGCTCCCAAGGCTCAAAGTCAAGAGGGCTTGGAAGCTTCTGTGGCACAACAGTCGTTTGCAGAATTTTGAAGGGGGCCCAACTGACGTGGTTTCCCATCTTTAGCCCAACTGCTTCTGGCTTCTATTCTCCCCCCCCCCCGGCAATCTGGGTAATAGGAAAGGTGGTTGAGCTGCACGCAGAGTCTTTTGATCACCAAGGCTAGGAGCCGTCTGTTTAGAAAGCACCCTCGGAGGCTGCTTGGAGCATGATGATCCCGCCTGTCAACGCAGGCGGCAGCGCTGGGGAGCCAGGGCCTCCTGCCATGCAAAGTATGCTCAGCTTCACCACGGAGGCTTCTGTCATCTTTCCCACTCAGGGAGCCTGAAGGAAAAGTCTCCCTTTTCATCCTTTTCCTCCCTTTCCTTTCAGGAGAAGCGCAAGTTGCAGGATGAAATAGAAGATCTCACGGTGCAGCTGAACGAGGAGCTGGAAAACAAGAGGAAGCTGGGGGACAAATTGAACCAGGAGAGACATCAGTTCCAGAAGGACAAAGAATCCACGCAGGAGGTGAGTGGCTTTCAGGGGGGCCCCCAAAGCCTTCTGCGCCTCCCAAATGTCCCACCGCTCTGCTGACTTGAATAGGCTGGGTGTGGCCAGACGACTTGGGTTAGTGGGCAGTGTAGAAGTGGACGTTATCCAGAGAAAACTCAGCGTATTTTAACAAGCCAGTGGAATACTAGGCAGCTTACTGTGTTCTGACGATGCAGTTAATTTCATTGGGGTGTTTATATTTCAGATTTTGCACATGCATATTAGAGGAAAAAGCTGACTTTCGTGAAAAGTCCACAGAATGATTCTTTAGGAAAATGTTTAAATGGCACCGTTTGCGTCTCTGTTAAAAATACCCCATGCATTGAACAGCATTGTAAAAGCAAGCAAAATAATATTATTCAAATAGTGATAAACTGAGAAGAAAGAGCAGCTGGTATTCGGGGAGGGGGGGACCCTCCAAACTCCCTAGGTTTCCTGCAAGTCTGTATGGAATGGAGGGAAGTATCTCAGAAAAACAGGGACAGAATCCTTGCTTCCCACCTGGTTCTTGGCCCACCGGGGCTGCCTTTCACCCCGCGTGCACGAGGGCCAAGTCCGTTTGCACGTGGCGGCCGATCCGCCGAGTGGGACACGGGTGGGCAGCGTGTGGTCTTCCGGTCCTCCAGTGATCCTGCTTGTTTGCTTGCCTGCCTGCCTTGTAGCTGATCGAGGATCTCCGGAAACAGCTGGAACACCTGCAGCTCTTCAAGCTCGAGGCGGAGCAGCGTCGGGGCCGGAGCAGCAGCGTCGGCCTCCAGGAATACAACAGCCGGACGCGGGAGACGGAGCTGGAGCAGGAGATCAGGCGGCTCAAGCAGGTCTGTGGGAACAGGCAGCCCAAAACGGTGCCTCGAGCAGGGGCCAGGGAACGGAAAGCTTCCTTAAAGAATCCCTGGACTGAAGGGTGCGCCTGGGGCCACTCTCGGCTTGCAGCAATGCTGTCTGCAGTCCCCGTCGGTCCGGACGCCAAGCCTTCCTCGGAGGCCCAGCCTGTGGCTTGTTTGGGATCCTTTCTCTTTCCTTCCTGGCCCTTTCAAGACCCGGGAGGTGGTGGCAGCGGCGGGATCATTAAAGGTGGAGGTCATAGGGCAAGGGGTGGGACGGTCCCACCTTGAAGGATCAGAAGGAGAGACAAATCATGCCCAAGCAAGCCTGTGCAGAACAAACTTGACCACGGGCTGAACAGCCACTCTGCTGCCGGTGGTATTTGGGAAAGTTGGGGACACAGGGGGGGTCTACCTTTCCAGTCTTGTTGACCAGATTGGGGGCAGAGGTTAAGGAAGAGGGCTGTCACTGAGGGGCAGGGCTTATGCCCTGCATGTAGGTGGTCCCTGGCCCAATCTCTGGCTACGTCTCTTTTTTTCGTCTTTTTCTTTTTAAAAAAAGGATATTCTAGCCAGTGGTGAGAAAGGTCTAATCTCTGCCCGGGAGCCGAGAGCGCTCCTCCCAGTTGGAATGGGTGGAAACCAATTTTGGCCCAAGATTTGGGCAATTTCAATCTCTGGCGAATTTTTGCACGTCATATCCCAGGGGCAGGCAGGCCAAGACAGAAGGGTGGGATCAAATATACCAGTGCCTTTCTTGGTGTAATGCCCTTACTGTCTTGAGGACAGCCGCTTAAAGGTTTTGGAAGGGGGAAAACAGCCACACACTATCTGGGAAGCCACCGCATGACGGCATTGTAGGGAAGGGGTGGCCTAGCTATCTGGGGAATCCCAGAATGGGATCTCATCCTGTCCAGAGTCTGAGATTCCTTATCTCTAGGCTCAATGCACCAAGCAGGGGAGTTGGTATAAGGAAGCTTTCCTTTGTCCTGTGTGTCTCAGGAGGATGATGTCTTTTTGCTTCATGTTTGGGTTCAGCCTTTGGATCTCCAGTGGGGAAAAAGCCTGAACAGCAAGGTGGTGAAAAGACCTCCGGCTAAGACAACAGATGGTGCATCCTAGGCCGGAAGAGTGGACTCAATGTCAGGTGGCTTCTTGGGTTCTTAAGCCCTCTTAGAAAGAGCCAGAGGCCACGGCAGGCTTGACGTTTGGGGGGTTGTCGTTTTCAAACAGGACAACCGAAACCTGAAGGAGCAGAACGATGAGCTGAACGGACAGATCATAAATCTCAGCATTCAAGGTGCCAAAAACCTCTTCTCCACTTCCTTCTCTGAATCGCTGGCAGCGGAAATCAGCTCGGTTTCCAGAGACGAGGTACTGTTGTGGGACAGCCTGCGGGAAGTTCTTTCCTTTTCAGCCACTGGGAGGTGAAATTAAACTGATTAGGATGAGAAATCAGAGGGCAATGAGAAGGTTGCACAACTGAAATCTGAAATGCTTTCATATTAAAAATGTGTTGATTTTGATTCTGGAGAAATGTTAGTTTTTGCCTCTTGCCACTAACGCAAATTAGATTTCAACTTGTCAGATCCAGGTCATGTGATTTGTATGAAGAACTTGGAGATCCAGTAGTGTTCCTCATGCGTTTAGACCATTGAAGAGTCACTGTGGTAGAACAGAAGGGTTTTAATTGAAATAGTATCAACTGTGGGTCCTAATGGGCAATTTTTAGAGTTATCTATTTTAGTTGTATTTTAATTGTTGTAAGCTGCCCAGAGACCTTTGGGTAGAGTGGGTGGCATATAAGTTAGGATAGATAGATAGATAGATAGATAGATAGATAGATAGATAGATAGATAGATAGATAGATAGATAGATAGATAGATAGATAGATAGATAGATAGATAGATAGATAGATAGATAGATAGATAGATAGATAGAACGGCTGGCATCCTGGAGGAGGGTGTGGGGAGCAAAAGGGTGCAATTTCTTCCAGAGACCTTTCCCAGCATTTCTTAAGGGTATCCTCCTCTGGGCTTCTTGGTGAGGTTGAAGATCAGAGGCACCGTTTTTCAGAAGGCTTCTAGAAGAAAGTTCTTGGGGAAGATAGAACGATAGATAGAACGATAGAACAGTTGGCATCTTGGAGGAGGGTGTGGGGAGCAAAAGGCTGCGATTTTTTCCAGAGACCTTTCCCAGCATTTCATAAGGGCTTCTTGGTGACGTTGAAGATCAGAGGCACCGTTTTTCAGAGAGTTTCTAGAAGAAATTTCTTGGGAGAGCTTCTGCTATTCCTACCTCGCAGGAAAGTCACACAAAGGGATCTCCCAGGGATCCTGTTTCTGTCCCTCAGGCATGGTTAACACTTAACACTGAGAGGTGCTATCCACAGTTAGAAAGTGAGAGATCTGGATGCTGTTGGAACCCAGCTCTGCATCTCTTTCTTCTTCCTCCGAACCATCTGAAGGAGGGAGCCTGTTAGAAGGAGAAGCTGTGTATTTCTGCACTGGCAGAGGGCCAGACTAGATGACCCATAGGGTCCCAATTTAAGTGGACAGTGCTGTGGTTTTATGCAACAAAACAGTTCTCCTCTGTTCAAGGGATACTAAGTGTTTAAAAATGACCCAGCTAGCTTTCCAGTTTGTGTGACCTACTTTATTGGCGTTTTATAACCTAGCATACCATTTTGGGTAGAAAAAAAACATTGCTCTTATGATTAGCTTAAAAGAAAATGAAACCCTTATAGTAAATTTCTCCTTAGGCAATCTGTGTTTTTCTGTTCTGTCATCAAACCAGCATTTCACAGTTGAAATTGCAGACTCGCTGATCTTTTTGTGAAATTCGTTCATTTTGATACTTTTAGCCCATTACCCCCAGTAGTGCTCTTATTGAACCAGTTTATGGTTGAAGAGCCAGAGGCCTATGTTATTATAGATCTGCTGTTAGGAAAAAAATCAACTATAAGGCCTTCCATTACATTGTTTTAAACCCCAAGTGTATATAAAACATTGTTCATCAGTGATAAATATCTAGGTGCTTATTATGATGATTAACCTGTTTAAATATTAACCACTGTTACTTAAATGCATGTTAAGTTTTATCGGGCACCTGGCGTTACAACATCAGTTTCTGGAATGACTGCTTTATTATTTCATTAAGAAGGAATTAAGATGACTGTAGGATTGAACCATGTCATGTTTTTTATTATGCTTTTTACTGGGATGTTTTCCCTGCATGGTGAAAGGCATCTCTCTGTCCTCACATGTAATTGTCTTTGGCTACGTGTTTTGCATTTAGCATGCTTTGTTTCAGAGATTGGTCAGAGAGAGGTAAACACAGGCTTAGTTAACGAGGCTGATTTCTGATTCCTCGCCTCTCTCTTAGTAAATGAATGCCTTGGATCTTTGAGGAAATCCCTCTGCTGGGAGGAGTGTATGTTTTCTTTAATACAGTGGTGCCTCGCACAACGATGTTAATTGGTTACAAAAAAAAAACCCGTTCTGTGAAACATCGTTCTGTGAAACACCATTTCCCATAGGAATGCATTGAAAACCGGTTAATCTGTTCCAATTGAATCGGATTGTCGTCCTTAAGCGAAAATCCCCATAGGAAACATCATTGAGGGAAACGCGGTTCCCCAATTGAAATCCATGAAAGCCGACTCAATGCATTTGAATGGGTTTGCGAAGTCCCTTTTCGCTCCTGTAAAAGTGCCTTAAACTGTTTGAAACCTGTTTTAAATGCTTGCAACCGTTAGCCCACCTCCTGAAACCTATGCAAACTTAATTTGGTGTTGTTCTGAGTCCTCGATGGTGAAAGGCATCTCTCTGTCCTCACATGTAATTGTCTTTGGCTACGTGTTTTGCATTTAGCATGCTTTGTTTCAGAGATTGGTCAGAGAGAGGTAAACACAGGCTTAGTTAACGAGGCTGATTTCTGATTCCTCGCCTCTCTCTTAGTAAATGAATGCCTTGGATCTTTGAGGAAATCCCTCTGCCGGGAGGCGTGTATGTTCTCTTTAATACCGGCTTTGACTCTCATTTGCTCCTGAAAAATTAACAACGCCTCAGAACAACACCAAATTAAGTTTGCATATGTTTCACAAGCTGGACTATCGATGCCAAGCATTTAAAACAGGTTTCAAACAGGAAAAGCCATCGTTGTGTGAATTTATCGTTGTGTGAGGCACTCGTTGTGCGAGGCACCACTGTACCAGCTTTGACTCTCATTTGCTCCTACATTTGAGAATCCATCACTGATCGTCTCCATGTGTTTGAGCAAAGTTAGCCATAGAAGAGTCGCCTTCTAGTCTCAAAACATCCCTCTTCTCTCCCTCACCCAACAGCTCATGGAGGCAATTCAGAAACAAGAAGAAATCAACTACCGACTCCAAGACTACATTGACCGGATCATTGTGGCCATCATGGAAACCAACCCGTCCATCCTGGAAGTCAAGTAGGAGGCTGGGAGCTGCGGACTTGGCAATCCTAAGGGCACCACCTGGGGGTGATGGATTTGCTGCTCAGAGGAGGACACTGGCAAAGTCTTCGCTCCACGGAGAAGGTGGCACCGGAAGCCTCACGTTGGGCTTGGATGGTGGGGGACAGATCCTGCTTGGACCTGAGGGAAGAAAGGACCAGGCATGAAAGCTGGCTGCTCTCTCTCCAATGGGTTTTGGAGCATTCCTGGCTTGTTTGGGGTAAAGGGGGCCTGGAGGGAAAAAAAAGGATGCCAGCTACAGGACAAGGTGTGAAAGAAGAGGTGGGTGGATGTGAAAGCTCAGCCCGGGGCAGGGACGGAGCGGCCTCTTGATACCCATTTCCTTGCCATAAGCTTTAGGGTCTTTCCCACCCAGAACCGATACAGAAACGGGCTGGAAAGGGGAATCTGGATCTCACCATGGGGTAATAAAGGGAAGAGAGATCTATGCAAGGGTTCCCTGCCTCACTTGGCTCATGCATCCTTGCTTTATCTTCTCTCTCTGAAAGTTCTCCCCCAAAATCCAGGTGGGTTGTCCTCCTTAAAGCTCTCCACGTTTTCTCAGAGGTGTCAAAAGAAGCAGGAAAGGGGGAGCTGGGACTTCTCCCTTATTCTGTCCATGGGAGCTTTTGGCCCTTACCTGCTTTGGAAGCTTTGCGCTTGCGGAAACTTTTTTATTTTATTTTGTCTGCACCCAGCAGGACAGTTTGGAGGCCTCTGGTGCCTGCAGCGCTGTGTGTTTCCTAAGCCCTTTTTTAGTTTGGCCAGCTGCCTTAAGGGGGAAAAAAAGGAAAAAATTGATCTGTGTGGTGTCCATTAAGCCACGACTAGGGTTGCGGTCTGAGGGTGAGCAGCTCCTGGAGAAGCAGCTTCTTGGCGACACTACCAAGGATTGGACCAGTGACACACCATTGGGTTGAGGTGCCAATGGTGGCCGGTGGCAGCCTTCCCAGCCTGGCCGTGGGGTTGGTCCACCCTGGTGTGTGAGCGGAAGGCAGCCTGGCCTGGCTTGGGAGTGGGGATGCTCAGCTAATGATACTCTCGTGCTGGAGGCCGAGCGGTACCCTGCTCCCGTCACTGCTGCTCTCCACTGGATAAAGCCGCCCACCCACTCCTTCCACCTTCATTGCACACCTTTTCTTACTTGAATTGCACGTCTTTTATTTTCTCACCTGTTTGGGTCACTTTGGGGTGGGAATGACGAATATACTGACCTAATTAAAAAACAACGACAACTGGAGACCGTAGATCTCAAGGGGAGAAATTAAAGACAGAATTGATGCTGACATGGTAGAAGAAGGCCCTCTTGACTATGTGCTATTAATGTCAGAATTAAATGTCAAGCTTCTCCCTGCCATAAAAAAGGGGGGGAAGGTGAATTATACTGTACTTAGCATAATTGGACCACTCACTGAATTTGTATGTGTTTAAGAAGGAAGTGAGCAATGCTTCTTGTTCCTGCTTTTCTCCCCCTATCACCAGGCTAAAAAGAACCAGATCACTAGGCAATCTGGGGAAGGGTCTGTTTTCTCACCCATCCATCCCACATTTTTTGGGAAAATATTGTTTTCCGCCTTACTAAAAGGTGCCCTTTTTCCACTGGAGGGATTTTTCTTGGCCTTGAGGATTGGTTTTAAGCCCTCCTTTTTTTCTGGGGCTTCTCTCCTTAACGGCACAACTAGGTAAAGGGAAAGTGGCGTGGAGACCTATATTGGATGGTGCCTGCTGCTATATGAGGAGGAGGAAGCTCCAAAGGGTGTAACTGGAACTCCAAAGAAAGCTTTGACTCTGGCAGGGAGCAGGCCGTCTGAGCTGCTTGTGGCTGCCTCTTCTATCTCTTAAAGTGAGGAAAGGACCTCTTTTCCCTTCCCTCCTTTCGAAGCTCCTATGAAACAACCACACTACATCTAAGCATAAGAAATGTGACGGCTTCTCTCATGCCTTCAGGAAGCGCCAGTGCACCTCGTCATTAAAGAGAAGCAGGATCGCCTCCCCTCTTCCTTGATAGCACCAAGTGGTTGAGTTCCAAGACCCCTCAAATGCCGTGAAGCCTCGGCAAGCTTTTTTAAAAAATTGAAAATGCACAAAATGGAACACCTCTGATCCGAAGTGATGGTTAAGATGGGTGGCATTTGTCTGATCTTACAAAAGAGGGTTGGGCAACACCGGGGCCAGAGTTAGGTTGGAAATACATATATTTTTTTAAATTGTAATTTATCGGTTTCTGCTTTTGCCGTTTCTAAGTTGGTTTCCAGTGCAGGGAATAGAAACAGAGGGATTCCTGTGCAAGGAACTGCTCTTTCACTGGGCAAAACCCATAACATCCTTCCAAATTCAGCACTTCTGCCTGCCTCTCCCCTGCCCCTCCAGCTTGGAGAAAGGATCCATGTACTGTACATTTTCAAGAGGAATGGGGGGGGGGTGTAAAACAGTGTACACTGGGTGAGGGAAAGTTTTTCGTTTTCTACCTTGTAGAGTTAGGTATTTTTTATAGATTGAAGGCTTGATCAATTTTTTAATACTTCAAAGAAGAGAGCAATGTATCTGTGTATACACACACACACAAACAAATCTATATATATATGTATGTATGTACAGTATATGTATGTATAATGTACAAATCTATAAATAATCAGATCTGCCTTTCTCAACTTGGGCACACACGTCTGTGATACAAACGCGCACTGCTCTCCTGGCCTCCCCGTTTGATCACAAAGAGGTACTGTAATGTAAATAGTCACAGGAGTCGGGGGGGGTGCGTCGAGAACACAAAAGTGAAGCACTGGCTTGCACACGGCTTTAATTTCCTGAGGAAAACTGTTCTTCCCTGCTGGTATGTGAAGGAATTTCCAAAAAAAAAAAGAGGCAAACAGAATTTGTCTTAACGGGTGTACTGATTCTTCGTCTGATTAAAGCCTGTTCCTGTCTCTTTGCTGGAGAACTGGCTCCTCTGTGTTCTTTGCTGGGGCGTGCTGGGTTCTCTCCTCTCGGAATAGGGAAGAGGATGGCGCGTCTTTAAAGAAAAAAGGGCCGCCAAGGCTGTTGTGGGCCCGTGAGCGGCAGTCCACCAGGAATGGGACTTCGCTGGGGGTGCGAGTCTTTGTTCCTGCCTAGAAAGGGGGGGAAAAAGAGGTATGTTGGATTTGACAGTGGTTGGGACCTTTAACTTTAGAAAAATTAACTTTGGAGGTACAGTGGTGCCTCGCTTAACGAGCGAACCGTATAACGACGAAATCGCATAGCGATGCGGTTTCCGCGATCGCTAATGCGATTGCTTACCGATGGCCCCAATGGGTGAAACTCGCCTAGCGATGGTCTGTAAGCGTTTCGCTTACCGACCTTCGTTTTGCGACCCGCGGATCAGCTGTTCGGCAGGTCCAAAATGGCCGCCGGAACAGCCGAAATGGCCGTGTGCAGCGTTTTCGCGCCCTCCCCTCGCTTACCGAGGGCGCGAAAATGGCTGCCGGCTATGGGAAGACTTCGCTAAACGGTGAGTTTTCAGCCGATTTGGAACGCATTAAACGATGTTTAATGCGTTCCAATGGCTTTTTACGTTCCGCTTAGCGAAGTTTTCACATAGCGAAAGTTAATCGGGAACGGATTAACCTCGCTATGCGAGGCACCACTGTATAAAGAGGTGGTTTAGGAGCCTGGTGGCACAGTGGTTAAAGTGCAGTACTGCAGTCAATAGTCTGCTCATGACTTGGGGTTCAATCCCAGGCAGCCAGCTTGAGGTTCACTCAGCCTTCCATCCTTCCGAGGATGCTAAATTACTTAGCTCACGGGGGGCATGGGAGTGTGTATTAATTAAATCGTCAAGCACCCAAAGAGAGTTTTAGGCACTGTAGGGCAATATATAAGCAGCATGCTTTATAAGAGTGGCTGTTTATTCCACTAGCGGAGAAAACATACCCACGCATGAGTGTGGAAGTATGGAATCCAAAGTGATAACGTACAGGTAGGCTTTTATAGAAAAACAAAGACCAGTAACAAAAGTATAAGGGCATGGCTCTTTCAAGGAAGCATAGCTCAGGATGTTATTTAGAATGATGCATTTCTTAGCCATTGGCCTGGATGGTGATGAGCTTTATCTTCTGTTCGCAGGATCAGGAATGTCCTTGGCTCAGAACAGAAAGGAACATGATCACAGACTTTATTTGCTTAGAGCAGAGAAAATGCAGAGTCCATGTATATGATGGAACATTGTGCTTTTTCATGTATTGAGTTTACATTTTCCCACTGAGACACTGATGACACATTAACACACTGTCTCTATTCAGTGGGTTAATATTGAACTGCAGAAGAAGAGGAAGATAAGCAGATCCAGAGGCTTGATGGGTATAGTAAGAGGAAGTGATGGGCCGGGGAGTGGGGGGGACAAGCATTTATATTTATACAGAGGCAGGTGGGTGTTCACTCAGACGTGCCCTCAAGCCACCCAATTCCATTACGAACTCAGGTAAAGGACAGAAAAAGACCCCCTGCTTCCAAATCACAAGTGTCTCTGCCTGCTGCGCCTTCTCTTTCTGCCTGGCTTCAAAAATTGGCTTATTTGCTCATACTCATGCATCAGGATTCATTCTCCTGTTTTCTTTCTCTCCCTGCCTCCCTCCCACTGACGGAGCTGGGGGTTCACCAGGAAACAAGGTGGATGGAAACCAATCTCCTCGTTCGCAGCCCCTGCAGACTCAAGGACGTGGCTTCCTTGATTGAATCAATCCGTCTCAATTTAGAAGATTAGGGAGGATGCAAATTTGGCTGATATTTGGAGGAGTATATCTGAGGTTTTGTAGCACAGAAAATAATGTAGGAGAATAAACACTGGATTTGATGATCCATTTGGGGTCCTTCCAGCTCTGCTGTTCTAAGATTATTCCTGGAACTGCTGGAGAGCTCAAGAGCTTAGAGGCTGGGAGTTCGATCCCCCCACTGTGCCTCTTTGACAATTGCTGAACTCAATGAACCGTAGGGTTCCTTCCAGTTCTAAGATGATGATGATGATGTTGATTTAAAAAAAAAAAACTTTCCAAAATTTGCTCTGAATTCAAAGTGCATGCTTTTCCCACCTGAAAAGGCTCCCAGCACTTCTCCTGTTCTGGCACTAGGTGGCATTGCTGAATTGCTAGAAAGTGCAGGATACGGCCGTCCTGCCAGTTAGAAGAGGTAGGTCAACCGGCAACCCTTCTTCTGCCTGGGAGAAAATAAAGCAGCTGGGCTTTTGGATGTCAGCTGCTCACGACCCTGAAAAACCAACCCTGCTCTTGATGGCATAGCCCTCCCCCGGGGCAGATTCCTGCTTTATGTTATAGTGTCAAGGGCTACTAGGCGCTGACTTTTAAACACGTATATTGAATATGAATCCATTCCATCTGACCACCTAACCAAACCCAGTGTTTTTATTATGCTCGCAACTTGGATACAGGACACATTTTCTGTGACTGTGGAGGATTTCAATCAGTGCAGCATTTATGCGCATGGAATTTATGCCTCACCATGCATACAAAAGAAGATTTAACAAATGGCCAAGATAACGCTGTTGAAATGGCCTGCTTTTGGTCAAAAGTAGTCTAATTATCTTCGCATTTAAAATTGTTCTTAGTTTAACCTGTGTTTCGTATACATCCATAGTTTTAAACTGTGCAGTGCCCAGATAGGAATGAAAGAAAGCTGACTGTCTCACACTTACGTCCTACCCTCACTTTGTATCTCATTCCCCTTAGAACACATCCCTCGCTATTGCCACAGTTAATCATCAAAGGTGCCCCAGGAATCTGCCTTTCACTGCACTGTTAAAGGTATGCCCACAGCAACACCCCCATGGACCACGGGCCCGCCTGCCCTCAGCTCTGTGCAACTTCTCGAACCCTGGGCCTGCTCTGCTGTGAATGCAGGGGTGATGTAGTTTGGTAATAATGCCTGCATCACGCATGGCCCTGATGAACCCCACTGCTCCTAACTGGGCCAGATGGAGAAGTGATGTGAGGACATCATTTTCTCTGGCCAGCTTCGCTCGAGTCCTTTCCCCAAGCCCTTTCCAACTCCTGTCTGCTTTCCAGGATCCACCTGGTGCCAGCCGCAGCTCTTCATTACTGCTCAAATTTCCCTTGCGGCTTTGCAAAGTGGTGTTTATAACAAAATTGAGATGTAAGAGGCTGTCTTCAGAATAAGGGCTGACAGGGGGACCCATCTGTGACAAGGTCCGGGGTGCAGGGACTGCCTTATTAATTTGGGCCAGTGGGAGAAAAGTTTCCTCCCTCCCTTTTGCCTAATGATGATTCATTAAAAATAAGACAAAATAAAGGACAGTGCAAGGGCTTAAGGCTTTGTGGAGGTTTTGCCTTGTGAATGAAGACTATTACTTCTGTATTGACTTTGAAAGCAAGAGGTCAAAATGTACAGGTCTTACATTTACATATTCAAATCTTTGTTTTCCTTGCACAGGGAATCTGGCCTTGACTCTTTTGCCTATCAATGTATTGATTAACAAAAACAGTGCACTTAAATTAGAAATTGAAAATACATCTTTTTTTGGGGGGTGGAGTACTGTTCCCATCATCCCGCTGCCAGTATGGGCTTTCTCTGATCTCTACTGGCTGTGGGACTGAAGCTGTTGTAGTCCCAAGAAGTAACTTTGCCAAACTTTCCTTTGTCGTCTTGAATACAACTGATGTGGACATGCCATGAAGCTCCCCCTGAAAAGAGTCTTCTCCAACTTGGGCTTTTTCTCAGAGTTTGAGAGAGAAGGTAATGTGTGTGTAGTCAGAAAATCATTTTGAAAAAGTTCCAGATGTGACTATTTGAGTGATGTATCAAAACTGGGTTATGTACCTCATAGCTCTGGAATTCAGCACTAGTGTTATTGCTCTGCAGACAAAGGAATCTTCTTGTCCTTTCCCCTTTTCCCCGCTCAGGGGATCATGGGTTCAGAGCCACTGGGGCTGAATCCCACCGCCCAAACACTGATGCCTGCCCTGCTCACAGGACATGCACAGAGATGAAATTTGGAGGTGGAGCCCTTAGCGACAAGATGGTTTGGCAGTCCTTTCTAATCCAACTGGAGCTCCATAAGCAAAACCTTCCAGTTAAACGGGAGATGGGTGGGAAACCTAGCAATTTAACATCTTTGTCGCAGAGGGAAAAGTGGAGTGATATAGGTTTTTAGAAAAGGCTTTGTTTTTCTCTTTTTAAAGATATCCCTCTGGTATTGGTTATGATTTTCAAAATTATTGTAATGAAATCATAGAACCATAGACTAATTAAAGTGGAAGGGGACTAAAAGGCCATTGAGTCCAACCCTGTGTTCAAGGCAGAAATCCAGATCAAAGGATATCTGCCAAGTGGTTGTCTAACTTTCTCTTGAATGCCTCCAGAGTTGGAGCGCTCACCACCTCTCGAGATAATTGGTTCCATTCTCCAACAGTTAGAAAGTTTTTCCTGATATTCATCTAACTTCCTGTAACTTGAGCCCATTATTGGATGTCCTGCATTCTGGGACAATCGAGAAGAGATCCTGCCCCTCCACGGGATGACAGCCTTTCAAGTCTTTGAAAAGCGCTATCATATCATCCTTCAGTCTTCTTTCCTCAAGGCTAAGCGTGGCCAGTTCTTCCAGTATCTTTCCTCACAGGGCTTGGTTTTCTATCATCTCTCATTTAATTGGAATGCTTAATTTTCATATGGAAATGCAAAGTTTGTAATGTTGGCATTTCTGGCTTTATAAGTCAGCCGATGGATTTGGAGACTGGATAACATGTAAATTGCATGGTGATTGTATAGTAGGGTTTCTGCCATGGAAACTCACGGGGGATGTGTGTCAATGGCAAAACCACTTGGTGGCATCTAATAACAACTGGGGTGGTTGCCTAATTGTTTGTGACTCTTCCTAATGCTCTTTCTTGATGAAGCTACTTCTGCAGCACATGCTGTGCTGTTATCACAGAGTTTGGCACCTCATTTTTGGGAAAGAAGTGGTTGCATCCGTCATTGCTTTGGAAGAGGCCATCTCAGATCACAAAAGTAATTTCACTGTGTTCTGTTTTATTAGTGCTTCATGCTGCAGGCCAAAAAAGAAAAAAGAACCCCCCCTCCCCCCGGGATGATCAATTTTAAGATTTGTTCTAGAAAACATTTACAAAAATGCAAAGGAAAAAACAAAGCAACCCCCTCCCCTATCATTTAGGCCTGAAAAGAGAGCAGCATCCGACTGAAAAACCTATTGGCAAAATGTCTCTGAAAAAGCCCTTTAAAAGTAACTTTTGAAGCTGTGGAAATATGAAATGCCGCTCATTTCACCAACAAAGGAACTTTGTAACTACTTGCCAATTACTTTTGAAATGCAACCTCATTTCACCATTGATACACCCCCTCAAAAGCAACTAGTTACACTTCAGTGTCTTCTTCCAGCTCTGGCTGTTACTTAATTGGACTTTGTTGTGACAGCAGGCAAGCCAAATGGATCCGCATTTTGCACAACGACAGGGAAAGGCAATGTGGTGTGAAAAAGACCCGTTTTCTACAGCTGCTGCCTCGCTGTTCGGCAACATGAGGGGTACTTTGTCAGAGCAATGCATGAGCGCAGGGAAACTTAACGGGATGGAAGTTGAAGTGTTGGTCCAAAATGCTCCACGCCCATTTTAAATATTTATTTTGGCAGAGGATGGAGGCCGGGGCTGAGTCCAAGCTCAGCCGAAGCTCTCCTGTCCTATAAACTGCATTTACTCTCTGCCCGGAATTGCCAAGAACTCCAGAAATACAGGTGTCGTGGAGTCTGGGTTCATAGGGTTAAAGCTCCAGGACTTTTGAAGTAGCAGCGACAATAACATCATCCAACGCTGCTCCGCAGGCTTCCCTCTCAGCTGCTATCCTCACATTTACGGGGAGAGGAATGGACTTCCACGGGAGCGATATGCAGTCTTTTCTTGGTGTAAAGCAAAGTACTGGAGCGTGGTTTTGTTTCATATGGGCCATTAAGAGCCATTAGCTTTACACAAGTCCTGCTGTTGGTTTGTTAATATGGACTGATTCAGCTACCTGCATTTTTGGACTCACCGGGGGGGGGCTGGCTATGGGAATTCTCATGATTAGCACCTGCATGTCCAGATTTATCCATATAGCACCAACTGTGCCCCTGCATGCTGTACATACAAGATGGCAAGAGCCACGCTGCGTCTATGGCCAGAGACTGGACAGGTAACTCCTCTGAGTTCTGTCTATGGTTTGCAGCCCACTGCGCACGAAAGGGACCGAGGGGTATTGCAGCCAAGCCACTGACTTCACAGGACAGAGGGAGATGAGATGAAAGTGATGGAACTGGTTACACAGACATGCGGAGAACTGGTTGGTTACTGGTCTTATCCATATCTTGGGGTGGAAGAGTTACGGTAGTTAGGCCACTGGGCCTGTCTGGTACTTTGTAATTTCTGGGTCCCAGTTTGCTTCTTTTTTTCTTTCAACTTCTCTGCTCTCAGTCTTCTACCCTCTCTTCCCTTCCCCTGCAATCATGGCACCAGTAATTAGCCACCCCTATAGAATTTGACAGTAAAGTATCTAAATGGAGATCTCCTTCCCCACACCGACACTCTGCTTGCTCCCATTTTCTTAAAAATCTGCTACTTGATAGAAATTTGAAATTCCCCTCGTGACTTAAAATGGTCATGCTTTTAAACATTCATTACAAATGCAGAATAGAAATGGAGACTCTCCAAGGGTATTGACAGGAAAGCAATTTCTTCCGAAATGCATAATTTTGAAATGCTTCGGTATGAAAGCCCTAAGCAACTTGGGCCATAAATGCTTCCAAAAACACTTTTCCTCCTGTATCCCACACTGAAGCCAGTCAGACCTGTAGAGCATGCCTTCCCCATTAACCATGGCATCTCCTCTTCTCTCCTGCTCTCAGCTTTAAAGGGTAGGAGTCTTTGGTGACTCCTCCGCTTCTCATTGGCCGACCCCTTTGCGAACAGACTCAGTTGTGTTTCAGAATTAGACCATGTAAGGATTGGTCTCTGAAAGGATTGGGCAGAAAGGAGAGCATGAAAAGGAATTTCAGAGGGAGACTGCAATGAGAAACAACTGAATTACAGTTCATCAAAAGTTCCATTCTGTTCATCTGAGCCTGAATGAAGACAATGGTTTTGTGTCCCACAGCACATATATATAAATTAACCCAGCACTGCTAACAAATTAAGATCATGGCCATTGGTCCCGTCACCTCCTGGCAAAGAGAAGGGGAAGATATGGAGGCAGTGACAGATTTTAGTTTCTTAGGCTCCATGATCACTGCAGATGGTGACAGCAACCACGAAATTAAAAGACGCCTGCTTCTTGGGAGGAAAGCAATGACAAACCTAGACAGCATCTTAAAAAGCAGAGACATTACCTTGCTGACAAAGGTCCACATAGTAAAAGCTATGGTTTTTCCTGTAGCGATGTATAGAAGTGAGAGCTGGAACCTAAAGAAGGCTGACTGCTGAAGAATAGATGAACTTTTGAATTGTGGTGCTGGAGGAGACTCTTGAGAGTCCCCTGGACTGCAAAGAGAACAAACCTATCCATTTTGAAGGAAATCAACCCTGAGTGCTCACTGGAAGGACAGATCCTGAAGCTGAGGCTCCAATACTTTGGCCATCTCATGAGAAGAGAAGACTCCCTGGAAAAGACCCTGATGTTGGGAAAGGTGAAGGCAAGAGGAGAAAGTGACGACAGAGGAGGAGATGGTTGGACAGTGTCATCGAAGTGACCAACATCAATTTGACCAAACTCTGGGAGGCCGTGGAAGACAGGAGGGCCTGGCGTGCTCTGGACCATGGAGTCATGAAGAGTCGGACACAACTAAACAACAACAAAGCATTGCTAAGTTGGTTGTTTTATTGTTTCTCACTGCCATGGTGAAGGGACACTGTGTCTATTTTCAGGGCCTGGAAAAAATAGTTCTTGGGGCTACAGTCTTCAGAATCCTCCCTCCAAAAGCTCCCAAAGTAGCTTTGCTAAGCTCTGTCCACCCCTCTCCATATATTCAAGCGTTAATTTGATTGTCACCATCTATACTTTGTGATTTTAATTCCCCTTCCTTACCTCCCTATTTATAGCTTCTCACCCCACCACCTCTATTACCCCTAGTGTGTGTAAATACCTGTTACAGGTCATGTAATGTGATGGAGTGGATTCTATTCCTGGTTCTTGTTGGAAGTTTCAGTTTTAGGCTTGTTTTTCACTGCAGACCAGAATAAGGCAGCCATCGTTCTGGAGAGGAAATAATAAGTGCACAATTGAGAAATGTCGGTTATAGGGCAAGGCAACATCTCAACTACAGTCAGCAGACCTGAGGGAAGGATTGTTCTGATTCATCCCCTTATCCCTGCATGTTTCTGCTCCAATCAGGTCAAAAGCATGTGTTACAAAACTGAGGAGTTTCTGGGTGAGTAAGCAAGAGAAGTATTAACAACCAGTTTTAGCGGCTAGGATGGCACAAAGTCCAAGAGAAGGAGGGGGCAGGTTTCAGGCTACTTTAATCATAAAGATTATATTGCACACCAGATAAATTTCCATTCTGTGGCGAAAATATACGGTCCTGTCTATAAATCTCATGGGGGAAGGAGTTTGTCGCCCGCATTGCTAAAGGAGGAGGATTCTGGCTTGACCCGATATTTCGGTCACTGAAGAGTTCTGGGGTTGTGTGTGGCAACGAAGAGGTGTGACGATGCAGTGAGGGCACAGGAAAGGCAGGGATGGTTCTTTCCACAGAGCGTGCAACTCATTTTTCTACATGTGTGCAGATTTCACACCCTAAATGTGCTTGCCAAAAGCTACCGAATAATTGGTAGAATCAGGAGTGTTATGTGCCTGGCAGCCCTTTGACCACCAAGGCTGGGAAGGAGAGTGATGAAATCCGTATTGCCTGGGGTGAGCCCTGAAACAGGTCTGTTGCCTCAGGTGGGTTTTGCAAGAAAGCCTGGCATCAAGACCTGACTATGATGATTTCTAGGATGTTTCTGGGTACCTCCCCCCTTTTCTTATGTCTAGTGTGGTGAAGAGTCCTGCAAGACTCAGATGCTTCCCCGTTTGAGAGATTTTGGTGGTTTAATAAATGAAGCAACCCTTGTTTTTAAAGTAGAATCAGATGCTACTTTGTAAAAAAAAAAACCCAGGTAATAGAAATGGGTTGCTAATTTGATTTCTTCCATCAGATGCTCTTTTTTACCTGCTGATCATATCATTCATGAGAGACAGTGGGTAGATTTTGTTTTTATGAAGTGGTAGAATCCATCCAAGCAGAGACCAAACTCAGAGGAATTGGGGGCCATTTTCTACCCGGACTCACAATGGGCCTCAAACCTCAGGTCGCTTCCGGAAGGTCATTTTCTGTTTTCCCAAACTCTCTTTCTCTCTCTAGTTGAGGATAAGAGAGAGAGAGAGAGAGAGAGAGTTAGAAGAGATTTGTGTGACTCTCTAGTTGAGGATAAGAGAGAGAGAGAAAGTTAGAAGAGATTTGTGTGCCTACAGGATTGTGGAGGTGTGATTCTCCTGGTATGGAACAAAACAATGTGGGGCAGGGCGGGTTCTGCAGCAAAAAGGGAAGCCACACAATTCCCACCTACAATTGAAACCACACTGCTACATACCTGTGTTTCCCTGAAAATAATATATTTCTAACTCGGGTTTCTTAGAAGTACACATTCCAGAAAATAAACATTTTTTTTTCCAAGCCAAAAAACGATGTAGAGAGTTGCAAAAGCCAGAGGATAACAGACTTCTGATCTGCACATTAGTCGGGATCAGGTCAGTTTAAATCACAATTCATTAAATTCAAATTAATGAAATTCCAATTCAAAGATCCCCAGCCATATGCTAGGGTCACGCTACATTTCCCTCTTGTGTCCGTTCAGTTGATGCAAAACTGCTGCAGCCACCGCTAGACCCAACCAGTTTTCATGGAAGAGAATCAAATGGGCTATATCCCAACCTTGCTTTCCCAGGTGTTTACAAACAATGCGGCACTTCTCAGCGGCCTGGATCCCATGGCCTTCCGCAGTTGTGATTCTGGAGTCCTCTTTTCTGTCTGGCCTGTCATTTTCTTTTGCTTTTGGCTTCGCTGCTGAGCAAATAACCTCGCAAAGTCATTTACCTTGTGCACTTTCAGGTAAGGGCATTTACTATTTCAAACCCCCAAACAGCAAATGACTTCATTTTCTTGTTTGTTCCTGATGACAGAAATTGGGGGCAGGTGGCTGAAAAATAAATAAGAATAGCCACTCGATGTCCTGTAACACAGACATGCCTTTTCTCAAATGTCAACCTAGATATGCGCAAAACTCCCACTGGAATATGATGAAAGGGTATGTGCTTTTGTGCGTGCGTGCAAAACATGGTCTTCTCAATAGGGGTTCCTTGGAGCACTGCGTCATGCCCAGGCTGAACATACAGTAATGCTAGACAGGAGGAGACATGGGGCATTTCCTTCCCTCTCACTCTTTTTTTAAGGACCCTTCAGAAAATTAGATTATTGAACTGTCGGATGGTTTGACAGAATGAGAAGATGATTGATGTAGAGACTTTAATAGCACAACCACTGTTGTAATGGGCTCTGTGTATGTGTGTGTGTGCAGGAACGTCTCCCAGAGGTGTGCCGTGGCTGGGTATGCTGCAGACATCGCATGTCCTTTTCTCTGTAGGACCTCTACTGCAGCTGAGCTGGCGATGCAGCCATCAGGTTTCTGATTGCAGGGACCAGACCCCAGGTTACAGAACGTATATTCCAGGTCCAGATCATCATCCCTGTCTAATTTCACGCAAGGGGGACTCCTGGTCTAATTAAGGCAAGTCAGTTTTGCCACTTTAGCTGATAGGTAGAATAATCAATCTCTTGATACTTAATTCACTGCTGAGCAAACAGCTGCATGCTGCTCCATCTCCGGACCTATGTCAGGCGGCACCAGACTTGAACACCTAAGCAAAAGGTGAGGGTAAGCCAAACAGGGAGCGTCTGGAAATCTACTTTCTGTATTTGAGGTTTGGGCAGCAAAATGAGGCATAGAAAGGGCCTGGCTTTGTGAAACCCAAAACCAGCTGGCCTTAGAAGCTTCCATGCTCTCCCTTTCTTAACATGGAACTTAGACAGACAAAGCCATAAATAACCAGTCTAATTGAAACACTATTACAATCCTTCCCAGTCAACCTCACTTTGTTTCCTGTTTCCCATGCATCAGATTTAAGATTGTATGCTTCTTGGGGCAGGCACCTGTCCTTCAGTACTCTGTAATGTGTTACATACATCGAATACAACAATAACAACATGGTATGAAATATATGGAGAACATATCTTCTTTAATAAGTAGATGGTAAACATCTCTCCCCCCCAAATAATTCTAATTAATATTGGATCAGACTGCAGTTGATAGATAGCCCAAGTTGGGTGGGATTCTAGTAAATATTATCTTTTTCCATTTTTTTTCAGACAGGAGAATAGGTTTACAGAGAAGATCTGTACCCCTTAAAGGTGCAGTTCTGCTGCTAAAGAGATTATTCATTAAGTTTTTCTGAAGTATGAGCGCTGCTGGATTATTTCAGCCCAAACCACATGCATAAGACTCATGCTTCATTGCTGTGATGCTGTAATTACCTCTGGGTTAAGGAGCACCAAAGGACTGCCTGGAGTGAAAAGAAGAAACTGGGTGCCACATAATGCTAGATATTGCAAAACCAAAATTAATGCCATCCAACTGCTCCCTGCAAACACGGAGGACCAGCATAAAGCTGTGCAGTCGTAGAATAATAACGTTCTCTCACAAGCTATACATTTTAAGATTTCAGAAATAAGTTTGACTTGTTTTCTCAACATGTTGTCAAGGGAACTAGAATTGTCGCTTGGTTTTAAAAATGGGAAATGCCAGCATTCAGGTTTGCTTGGGAGCCCAGTCTTTCTCAAATATTTTTTTCTCAGGCTCCCCCTGCTGAGCTTCTTTTACGTCATGTCCCTTCCTAATCAAAAATTAATACATCATTTCATGCGCACTGTCAGTCTCAGGCAAGGCTGCATCCATGCCCATTTGTTAACTCCGGTACAAAGGCAGCCTTTTACACTAAAAGGAGAAGACAGCAAGGTGTAGATGATTTCCTCCTAGAACTGCACACAGGAAACTTACTGGGGACAATAGAGCAGACCTACGTTTTCCTCCAATTAGTTTAGTTTGACGGGATAGTGAGAAAACATTCATTAATATAGATCCAAAGTGAAGATCTGTCCTTCGGGGTCACTAAATTTGGCGGTGTCTGTTTTCATGAACCTGTCCCTTCCCTGGAATGTGACACAGAAAGGGCACTGCCTGGCTGCTTGAGAATTAAGGAAGTAGGAACCAGTGGTATGGCTGATTGGCAAGAAAGATGCCTTGTGCTTTTTCTGAAGTCTCACACACAACTGCTCCATGTCTTTAAACTGGAGTCATAGATACGCAGAAAGATGACAAAGCTATTTAAAAAGGGTTAACAGTTTAAGGACCTGTTAGCCCTCAAATCTAATCCAGTTATGTTGTTAATAAATTGTGGTTAAAGTTAGGGGACAACAACAAAATGTTGCCAGAAAAAAAAAATGCTTCATTTGCTTTCCCTTACCTTTTATAATTGACCGTCCTTGCTTTTTCATTATAGATGGAGACCAGCCAAAGTTCTAGGCACTCAAAACTCTGTTTCCTAGGACAGAAAAGGAACCTCTCATGCGGTTTTTTGTATGGGACAGAAGAGGACCACACTCTTAATACAAAAGCTGTTCTAAAGATCTTTTCCAGGGCATCCTTATCACCTGTGGGTTTAACACTTTTTTACTTTGTTCTACAAGACAAATAATGAAAGCTACCAGGTTTGCACTTGTGCATTTAAGGTCTACACGCTGCACATGCACCAAGGCAGCATCTTTGATGTTCGGTACAAAAGATTCCTAGGGAAAGTAAACACGCTTGGACTTGGAGCCATTGCAACTACTCTTTAACCTCCGGCTCAGTTATTCTGGCTTTGGAAAAAAAAAAGGCTTTCCTTCAAATTAAGCAGAGAGCTCCTGCAGCTATCTCTCTAGGCTAAGGCATCTACTCCCCTTGACACTTATGTGTAGCTCATACAGTAAAATGGGACATGATTGCAGCCCTAGAGACAGACTTTAGTGTCTAGTGTTAAATATAGGTAATTAACGTTGTCTACACAGGAAAGAGGAGTCACAGAGGTGGTGTCTTCAGCCTCTTATCCGTGCTAGCTCATGACTGGGGCACAGAAGTGTCCCTAAAATTCTGGGGTGAGTTACACGACTCTATCCCAGTCCACGAGCTTCCCACAGCCTTGATTGGCTGTACTGGCAGATAGGGCCAGCCACTTCAATGTGAAGACTTGAAAACGCACCAAATGAAAACACTATATATATAGTGTTTTCATTTGGTGCGTTTTCAAGTCTTCACATTGAAGTGGCTGGCCCTATCTGCCAGTACAGCCAATCAAGGCTGTGGGAAGCTCGTGGACTGGGATAGAGTCGTGTAACTCACCCCAAAGGCAAGCTATAATATATATTGCACCGCGTCTCGAATTACAGAAAAAGAGGGCGATCCCACAGACGGGATCCCCAAGGATCACTGCTCGACTTCCTCCTGCAAGGGGGAAAAAATAAATCTGCTGATGGGGCATCAGCGCACCGAGTCCCGCCTCGCGTGCTCCTCCAGGCGGCGCACCATAGAGTCCCAGGTGAGCCGCCGCACAGCTGCCGGCCAGATGGGGCGCGCGCGCAAGGGACGCTGGGAATTGTAGTCCGAAGCCTGCAGTTCCTCCGGAGGGTACGTGATCTCCGCCATCCCCTCCTCTAATCAGTCCCCGCAGGGCTCTTCTTATCAGCCGCTTCACCGAGGCCGAGGGAGGGCCGTTCCCCCCCCCCCCGGCAAGACCACAACTCCCTCTATCTGAACTAAAGCCTCTGGAGCGCCACATCCGCTTTCCTCACCCCGCCTTCCCCCTTCCGCAAGGCCCTCTGGGGCTTGTAGTCTTACCCCCGGTATTCACGACGGCGCCGGCGTTTTTACCTCCGCGTCCGCTCCTCGCCTTCGGATGGGCCGCTACGCTACGGAAGCGGCGTAAGGGGCCGGTTCCTGGACTCTGTGAGGAGGAGCGAGGTGTGTGTGTGTATGTGTGTGTGTGTGTGTATGTGTGTGTGAGGTGAGGGGGGGGTGGCGGCAGCAGCGTTCTGCCTGGGGTTGAGGTTAATAAAATAAATAAATAAATAAAAATAAAAGGGGAAGGAGAAAGGACACCTTTTTTTTCCTGAGGAGCCGGGGCGGGGAGGGA